GTCAGCAACAAATGGGCCTGCCAAATCCCTGTCGAAAGGTCTTCCAGCCCCTTCTTGCACACTATAAGAAAACAGGATTGAGGTCAACGCATGCGGTTCCAAGTTGCAAGTTGCAAGCTCAGCTCTCTCTCTCTCTCTCTCTTTCTCTCTCCCCGCCAAGGCCAAAACTGCACAAGAAATCGTGATAAATCATGTGCATTTTCGTTGTCTCTCTCTCTCTCTCTGTCTCTCTCTCTGTCCCTCTCCCTCCCTCTCCCCCAATGCGGTATGAGTCTGTGAGTCAATGAAATGTTGCAGCGATCACAGAATCACAGCCATCTTCATCGCAAGGAAAGAATCCACACATCATTGAAAAACTGGAAATCCCAAATCCTCTGAAGAAAACCAAAAAAGCCAGGAAACCAGAAATCTGCCAGGATCCTGCGCTTCTCTCAGTTTCTCTGCTGGATTTGAGAATTTGGCTCCGGCGGCTCTGGTGTGCTTTTCAGGCGGCCCGCAAGGCCCTCGAACAGCCAACGGAAATCGAGGAGAGTCGAGGAGAGTCGAGGAGAGTCGAGGGGAGGGGGCACCGGGAGAGTCGAGGAAGACTGCCACGAACAGTGAGAATCGAGGGGAGAGTCGAGCAGAGCCAAGGAGAGTCGAGGAGAGTCGAGGGGAGTCGAGGGGGTCCGCCCCAGCCCCCCCCGTGGCCCCCCAGTGGGCTCATTGGCAGGCCCGGTTAGGCTTTCACCTGAATTTGCTGCGTTAGGGGAGTCTTGTCTGAAAAAATGCAATTTCTCAAGAAATGTGCCTCAATCTGCCTGGCCTGGACTTCTGTGCCTGCGAAGCAACCGAACAGGCTACAACCCTCCCAAAAGGAACACTTGAACACACACGTCACACAAGCAGCGTCACAAGTGGCCTGAAACCAAGTATGATGTTACCGTCACCAACATCCGGCTCACCGCCCTCACCCTCACGGCCCTAGCACATCAGCACTGGCGCAAGAAGTTTTTGACAGTGATCCCTGATCCCGGAATCCAGATCTTGCCGCAGATGCCGCCGCCAGCAGTGCCAACACTGCCTGTGACGCAGAGAAGGTAAAGGGTGCTGCTAAGACTAAGACCAATAAGCAGGCACCGCCGACATGCATGTTATATTTGTAACAATGTCTGACGCCTTGGGACCTTGGCTTATAATAGTTTGATCTAGAATCTTACATCATTCCTGTCAGCACCAAACACCTGGACTCCTGGACCACACCTGGACCTGGAGCATCCTGGTAAAACCGAAATCCCGGCCCTGGCCTGTGTCCAGAAGTTTTGGCGAGCCACACTCATCAGGAACCTTATTGGCATTATTGGCTGTCACAATTCAAACACGTCCGCTCTGCTATCTTGAATCTGGGTCAGACTGTCAGACTCTGCCAGACTCTGCCACAGCTCCGATGTGCCACGCTCGGCTCAACACTCTTGACTCTTGACTCTTCACACTCCAGCCTGAAGTTGAGTGACAGCGACATGTCTGTGAACTCAGAGGCCGGCTCCGCCAATGGGAAGGAGGTGCTTGGAGCCAACGTACCAAGAAGATCAAGCCGTCCTGAGGCGCTGCTGCATCTAGGAAACAGCCAAAAAATACTTAAGCACAACCACAAGAGTAGCAGCACTATGAGCAGCAGCAGAAACAGCACCAGTACTGGTAGCTGGTAGTACGGTAGCACTTTTGATAAGCCAGGAAAATTAGGTGGCACTTGTAGTAGCAGTAGCAGTGGCGGCAATAGTAGTTGTAGTAGCAATGGTCATCAGCATCAGTGAGTGCATTCTTTGGGGGCCTAGTCGGCCTAGTTTTGTGGATCAAACTACTTCAACCCTCTTCTTTGAGACCCACAAAACTTCCGCAGTGGGGCCACGCATCATGAGCAGGTTTTAGGGTTTTAGGGTTTAGCTTTTTAGGGTTTAGGGTTTAGGGCTTAGGGTTTCGGGTTTGGGTTTAGGTTTCGGTTTCGATTCGGTAAACGAAATTGTTTCTGGCTAACCAGAAACAAGTGCAAGGGCCAACTGCAGAAAAACATGAGACACCTACCGACCTTGATACTTGATACCTGGGAACCTGGACTCGGACCTGGACCTCGACTGTCTGCTCCAATGAACCCATGAGCCAGCAGCACGAATCTACAAGACCGCATCATTGTCCTGCTCCGCTGCAATCATAGTGGCTTCAGTGCTCCAGTCCTCAATGCGGTATACTGGACACAGGACATTTCGCTATCAACGAGTCGACAAAGCATCGGCATCACTGCATCACTGTCAGAGTCCGCACGTGCAACCGAGGATCGGCAATGTCAACTGCTACTGCTACTGCTACTGCTGCTTCCAGGACCAGAACTGCGACTGCCTGAACTGCTACTATCACTGCTGCTGCTGTCGTCGTCATCAGGATCACTAGCCGCTTCATCTTGCAGGGCACCCGAAGCGGAGTTGTGATCCAGGGCAACAGAAGCTGATGCAGGCGCAGAAGGTGCAGCCGCAGAACCCTCTTGCTCACTCTGACTCTCGTAATCATCTGGCACACGTTCACGCTCAAGCCGGGCATCAAAGCCTGGCGATGCAACCAAAGCGGCAGAGGCAGGCTTTGCATTCATGTGCGACAACCTGCTGTCATAATCCTTGGCCGTGTTCAACCAATGCCGCAACTGCCTGAGAACCTGAAGTTCCTGCTCAGGGCAGGAAAAACATCGTGTTCTCGTGCAACGTGTATTTTTTCCTAGGGCATGCTTGTGAGATTTCTTGCGATGACAGGCTGCTTGCCAGCTGTTTGGGGGCTTAAATGTGATGTACCCAGGACCCCACGAGTGGCTCTTGTCATGTTGCTTCCTGGCAGGTCTTGCTTTGGCTTTCGGAACGGGAGCATCGTCGTCAGCTGCAGCAGCACCGGCAATGGCTGCAAGCGGTACTTCTGATTCTGATGCCTGAGCCTGAGCATGATCATGATCTTTGCGCTTGCCACGTACCCGACGCGGTACTGGCACCTCGTTCCCAACTTCTGGGACTACTGGGACGGCAATGCCTGCATCAACATCGAAAGTCAGTGCTGCCTGCTGCTTCAGACGCCTTTTCTTTGAAGGCTGGCTACCAATGATTGGAACCAGGAGCTCTGCATAGTACTTGTCCTTTTGGCAATGGCGAACAGAGGTAACCCCGTGATTCTTGAGGCTTGGCTCTGCCAACGCAAGCAGATAAAGCCGGCTAAAGTGCCCCGCACCCGGTTTCAGGAACATTTTTTGGGGCCCTGTCTCTGCACGCTGAAAGGCTGAGGCTCCTCTGAAACCGGTTGCGACAACTGCTCGAAGACAAATCCCTTCTGCTGTAAGTGCAGCATCAGTTCCATCAAGGTCATGTTCTTTGCTTCCCCCCCGTGGCCCCCCTGCATCTGAGCAGCACGCGGTGACGCAAAATCAGAAGCCCTCCCTAGGCGAACCACTGCGCACAGCTTGCTATACGTGCTAGCTTCCAAGGACCATGTGACAGCTCCGTGATCCTCGGAGCCCCTGTGAACATATCCACGTGACTCAAGCATGTTCAGGCCTTGCACATGCTCGGCCACTGAATCTTCTTCAGCTCCCGCACCCTGACGCAAAGTGAGTTGGCCCTGAGACTTGCACAATGCATCCAACGCTGCTTCAGCCTGGGCAGGCAGATGCACATGTTTGAGCACCTGACACGTGTCGAGCATCTCCCAACGTTTGATGGAGGCCAGAGAACTTGGGTGAGACAACAAGTTCTTATTATCCGAACTGCTCCCTGCTGCATCCAAGTAAACAAGAACTTCCTTCTGATCGAAATGAACCTGACGAATCCTGTGGTGCTGCACAACAACCTCTGAAGACTGCAAGCTCGTGCCCAGATCAGTTCGGGCCCGCTTGCGCCTGTGCAAGGAGCCACAGAGTAGGCGAAAAACAAACACATCCTTCACGTCAGCAACCACTATACCCTCAGGCTCAGGTTGATCCTGCACTGCACTGTCTGCTGAAGCTAGCAGAGTGTTCGGTTCGGCAGACTGCCCGTCATCATTGTGATACTCCAAAGCTAGAGGAGTCTGCTGAAGAGGCACATCTTGCAAGGCCGCAGCCGTCATGCCCTGATCAAGGATGGCTTGGAGAACAGGCTGTGGAACACTGCTTTGGGGTGTTATTGCATCTTCTAAGCTGCTCAAGGCTGCCCCACACAAACGTGGTGCCATGGAAAAGAAAACTTCTGATGAACTGGTCCTGCGGAAATGGTCCCATGCACTGTCGCACAGCATCTTCTGCCAAGACTCCTCAGTAGACGACAAATCCTGAAGAGCAGTTTCTTGCCGCCTGGGACCTTCGTCCCCAGAATCCTCTCTGTCTGCATCTGCTGCATCTGTGAGGCTTGACCTGGAGTGGTCCGGCCTACGGGGAATTTCTACTGTAAACCGGCTAAACTGAGTGCAAGGATCGCATCTGTACACCAGGCTCGCAACAGTTTTGTGGGGCGTTTTGGATTCTTGGGGGGGCGACGCTTGAAACCACTCAGCCACTTCAGAATGCATCTGCAAGCCAAGAGCACGAATAACCAGAGCCGGAGTCCGAACACCAGAGCACAAGTCAGCCATGGTTTGCAGTTGACCCGGCTGGGAAAGAAGGTCTTCGATTTCATGGCTACGCTGAATCACAGAGATGTACGGCCCTGAGTGGTTGTGTGCGCTTAGAATCCTCTGGTGAACCACTGCATGTCTTCTCTCTATGCTCTGCTCCAGAATGGGG